CTGCTTATAAAGGACCAAAATGTCCACACTGAAACAAACAGGGCAAACGTGTTAGAAATTTCTATGACATTAAGACGGCAACTGAAAATATCTGCACTGAGCTGTAGGGATCAAAGATAAGTAATTACTGTTGAAATGAAATCACAATAGGACAAAACACTGCAGTTCCTCATGTACGGTACTTTGGGATTCCAACGCAACATCAATTTTTCGGGGATAACTGGTATGCACACCTGCTCGAAATAACCACGTCATGCCGTGATAAATATAGTCTCTAAGAATAATTTTGGCTCTGATATACACGTTCTAGTCTAAATTACGCCAATATGACCCGAACTTAACGCAGTGTCAATAAAAGTATGTGCGTTACTGAGACCATAATTCCTGCATTTCAATCCGTGAGTACTGTACCTACACACTAGGTTAAGAGGCCATACCACATATGCATCATAGAAAAACGGAAGGAAAACACGAAACAAATGAGGCATACCCACTATTTACATTGGTTGTAGCAGCCTGCTTTCCAATGCTACGACTACCAGTTTTTTGCATCTTTAGCTTCATTAGCTGCCAAACGCATATTCTCTTTCCGCAGTAGAATGTTAATTCTGGTTTTAAAAAATGCTCTCAGCAACCTCTCCTGATTGTAGTGGCAAGGTGGAAAACAATCGACAGCTTGCACACTGTCATTAGTGGGGGCCACAAGTTGACCAATCGTAACTTCATTGCACAGAAGCTTGTTGCTATTCACTCTTAACATATTCTCAGCTGTTTCGAGCAAATGAAGTACTGCTGGCCCTGGTGATACGAGCTTGCTGTCATCAGTGTAAGATTTCAACTTTGTGAGCACACTAGCTTCGTTCGACACTGTGGCAGTTTTGCACTGCTCACAAATACCTGTGTGCTTTGCAACACTCTTTACCACAAACCCAGCAAGGTGAATAAAGGCTCATGCTCCATCATGCTTATGTCGAGAAGATCACTGGGATATTCAACAGCTTCTGTATCATTGCTGTTAGGAGCTCTTGCGTGGCAATTTTCGATGCCAACTTTGGAAGGAGCATCGTCGATAGCATAGCTTCCACTTCTACTGGGCCGAAAGAATTGTGCCAAAGTAGCAGCTCGAATAGCACTACAAAATTGAAGAGCTTTTGGTACTGCATTCTTCGCCCTCAGAGTGGAGAACGAATTCTCAAGAGCATCTTGGGCAAATAGGCTGAGCAAAACGAAAAATAAGCCCTTCTCATTAAGATAATAATGCTGCAGTTCCAATGCAACTTTACACACCAAAATTATGCCCGTCTGCACAGGCTTCCACGCATGTTTCGATGGAGAGGCTATCTTCAGATCTGTAAAAAGAGTTACCATATCCTTTAAAAATCAGTGAGTCCTCATATTTTTGATCATTTAACTTGCTGATTCGAAGCTTAGTTGTACGTGATGTCAGCACTTTGAACCACCTCTAAATGGTTTCTATGAACCATGCTGTTGCCAACGCTTCTTGGGGCGAATCTCCCCTTTGGACCAGGAAACGTAGTGCAGCTGCAGTATCATGATTTAGCAACAAAAATGCAGGCCCCACTTTCATTTTCTCATAGTGTCCTGGGTCCAAGAAGGATGGTTTCAAGTGCGGTGCTATGTTTATTTGCAGTTCAGAGTCTATTTCCACCAGCTTCAGAATTGGCACAAGGTTAACCTCATTCGAAGGCAGCTTGTGCTTTTCGACCACATTTTCGGGAAGGAAAATCGATTGACCACGTGTGAGGTGGTTGCTCAAGTTGTTTAGTAAATGTGCGGTGTCTGCCATAAAATAAAGCTTGCAATTTTGGTCAACAGAATGACAACAAGAAACTCTTGACACAGAATGCTTTCCCACAACTATGCCAAATTCTCTCCAGAGCGCCATATTCCCACCACCCAAGTCGCTAACGACTGCATCTATATGAACCCCGATTGTTTTACATTCCTGAATAATTTCAATCAACTGTTCTTGAACTGCAGCACTGCTGAACGAGTTTCCAGTAAGATGAAAAGCAACTGTCTGCTTCCATCTTTGTGTAACCCCACCCGGCATGAAAACAAGTCCATGTGTTGCCACTGCAGCATGTCGCAGGGAACCGTCGGCCAAAGGTAAAGTTGGCCTTCCAATAACAGTGCCAGTCGTTTGGTCAAACGCAAGCCCTGAGCTCAACTGAATTTCATCGAGCATCAGAACTGCATGCCTCTCATGCTCCTTCATGGTGGTTATCTGAAATATGCAACATGCATTAGGCAACAAAACATTAATAAAGACATTTAAAATACAATGCTTTTCAATAATAAACAGGTAGTGCACAGTGCAAGCGGCATTTCGATGTTTGCATGCAAGAAGATTATCACCTATTGAAATTTATGTGGAATTGTGTCTAGTCAGAGGACCTGAAGTCATAAGTGAAGGAAAGGTGAGAATATGTTGTGGAAACTTTATGAATGGGCGCTAAAACTTGCGCGACAAAGTGCGTAGTGACAGGCACTAACACTGGCACTAGCAACACATGAAAGCCTAACAAATATTAGGGTTTACGCGTGAAAACCATGATACAATCATGAGACATGCCATAGTGGAAGGCTCTGGAAAAGGTTTCACATTTTGCTCAAGGTGTACTGCTGAAAGAGATGCTCACGAGAATAAATGTAACAAATATATTCAGCTACACCATCCTTTCACCTTTAAATCAAGGGACTTCAGAACCTCATGTAGAATTCCTGGTGAGAACTTGTAGTTTTCAACATGACGTTGTAAAGTTCTTTCACTCGGAATGGGTACAGCAAGCTCCCTGGCCGCATTGTAGCCTCTGCATCCACATGCCAAACGGAGCTTGAGGCCTTTCTGTATAGTCTCTGTAGACCATTGCTTCCCTCGCATATTGGAAGTCCACAAGCCTTGCAGTTGATCTGGTGACAGGTACATCTTGATGTTTCGCGTGAGTTCATGGTTTCTGTGGTTTGCTCTGCTTTTCTGTTGTTGCAGTGTAGCAACTTTCCGCTTCATGTTGTTCAAGTACTCTTCCAATGTAGCTATTCTTTTATGAAGGGCAGCTACTACTGCTTGATCAGCATCACAACTACTTGAACTGGAGCCTGCAAAGCACAGATTGAGCAGGAAGTGACAAGAGTTTGACAATTTCACTTTTTAACCCAGACTTGCATGTGAGGGAGAACCATAAGGATTTAAAGAGACAAAAAAAATCAGTGCCACTCCATATTATTCAGCAGAAAAGTGTAAGCGTAACTTTTTGAGAACACAACAGTGGTTTTAACAAACTGCATAAGTTGACACTGTTGCTCAATGAAGAGGGACAAATGGAGCTGCGCAGAACCCGCAATGCATGCAGCTGAACTATGTTTTTGGTGGAGGCGTGTCCTTGATTCGAAATAGGGGCTGGACATTCAAGTGTGGTCACGTCTCACTGTGTACTCTGCGTGTGAAGGCAGAAAGACATTTTGGGAGCAGCAAGTGTCCGGTGTACCACCTCCTAACTATGCCAATAGTTAGTAATGAGTAAAGACATGAATATATGGCACGTACTCTTGGTTATGACGTAGGGTTATCAATGGCGGTGGCTATTTCAAACAAAGTGGGGAGAGTGCCATGGTTCCGCTGTTGTAGCTTTTTTTGACAGAGTTGCTACAAGACGACAGCTGATTGCGTGTCACAAGTGATAGTGTGATGATGTTGTGCAGTGTGTAGCAGTGTGCTATGCATTACTGTACACAAAACACAGCTTACACGTTCCTCCAATAAACTTACGTTGTGTGCGACTACTCTCGCTTTACAACAATGAGCATACCAGCAAAAGAAACAAAACAGGGCACCAGTACTTGGAGCGCATCCGCGCTATTAAATGCACCAATATATCAATCTGTTATGAGCGTGCACGTAATTTCCTGTAGGCGGCGATGTATCTCACTCAAGTGTATATTACATAGTGTGTGAAAACAGTAGCACTGAACACTTACCGGTGACATCAGCTGTGCCCTCAGCAGACAGAAATCCTCCACAGGCAGCACAAAAAATCTGCTGAGCTGTAAATGACGGATAATCTTATTAGTAGTACTGAAGACCGGTACAGTCACCAAAGCTTTAAATTAGCGCAGTTGCCGCACAGGCAATGAGGGATGGCCAGTGACTAAAATTAAAATATGTATATGATACTGAACAGAAATTTCAATCACACTCAACAGGCAACGTGAAAGCTTGAAATGGCTGGCAGCTCGATTCATGGGTGGTTTCCACACCTGCGCACATATGATAGTTGGCACCAACAAAACCATCTGGCAGACACATGCCCATACAAATCATGAAAAGTAGCACTCACCTGCTGAACAAGCTGTTGAACAAGCTGGCAGTGCGTCACATTCGGAACTTGAAGGTGCATCTGCAACATGAGATCAACTATAAATTATGTGAAATTTCAAAGTAACATGTCACTGCCATTACCTTCTAGAAAATCCGATGGTGCTGAATCAGTGGCAGTGTGACCTAAAAAATATAAAGACAAATTGAAGAAGACCATCATCTCTGTTACATCGCATTTTGGCAAACAAGCATCAACACTACTTGAAGCATTTACAATACGCACAGGTGCATTACAATTTTTCAGTAATAAGAATGCATGCCAAAACCCAAGCGACAATGCTTTCAATGCTTGCAATGTGCTGAACACCATACTGCGGAGCAAAATGTTGTGGATCTGCAGCACACCCCTACAGACATGAGTGTAAAATATACAAACCAATGAATACAAGTTACAAGCCGTTACAATGCTTCGACTACATGCAGCATGTGTGTTAGCTACGTTACCTTGTGAAGAACCTAACCCTGCTTGAGTGGCATCACTGTTGGCTCCATAGCCTGCAAATTATAAAACAGCAATGAAGCCATAAAGCACGTTTGTAATTACGGTAAGTAATAAATGCAGTAAGAACTCACCATCAACCGCAGCTGGCGTCGGAAGCACATTTGTAGCTGATGGGCAGTGTGTCTCTTTGGCTTCTGCATAATCCAAACATGTATTAATGATAACGAAGAGGGAAAAGGCGTGAGATGTGCTTAACCGTCAACTCACCATCAACAAGAGCAGCTGCTGTTAGTAGTAGATTAAGGCCACAAGATGAGCGGGCTGAATCATTGCATTCTGGGGAATGAAAAAAATGCATTAATTATACCAAAGAAAAGCCATTAGCTATACACAAACAGTGCACAACACCTATATGCAAGACGACATGTTTCAGGTTAGTGAAAGGCTGAGAAGTAATTATGGGTGATGCAGAAAACAATGAAGACGGACTAAACATCCTCCAGTTTTTTAACGTGATCGGCTTACCTGACGTTTGCAAATGCTCTTGACTGAAGATCGTAGGCGCCGCGTCTCTCTTCAACTTTTTAGTACCAAACTTGCGCAGCAGTATCGGCTCGAATTGGTCCGCAGTGAAGTGGTCCTAGGTAAGGAAATATTCGCGGCTACTGTTACACAATGAAACAGCACGCTCTAAAAGAAACTAAAATAACCTTTAGTGTCAACACGTACACGACTACGCACAGTTTGTCACATTTTCTTCCCACCAGACTAGCACATGGTGCGTACAGTATGTAGAAATACGCAGCTTTTAGCCTTGCGTGTCCTTATTTCAACCACAGAGCTTCTGAATACTGAGCGCGCTGGAGCACATGCTTAAACAAAATGATGCGACATTCAGGTCGCTGCCCACGCCTTTATACATAAAGTCCTTACACCCATACACACATACACGCGGGATTCATTTAACTATACGTCGGCCAATAAACAAAGTTTAGTTTAGCACTTGAATGTATCCATTACATTTACTTTGTAACATAGTCGACGATTATTTCTGGATCAAACGAGTATTAATAATAATAATAATAATATTATCTGGCGTTTAACGTTCTAAAATCACAGTTTGAATATGAGCGACGCCCTTTTGAAGGGCTACGGAAATTTCGACCACCTGGTATTGAATAACCTGCATATAATGCTAAGTACACAGGCCCCAACATTTCCGCCTCAATCGAAAATGCAGCCGCCGCGGTCGGCAGGGATCAAGCCAGAGACGCAACGTTTACACGGCACTAAACGCGGCACGCGTTTCAACTGGCATGCACGTTTACCATCGACGCAGTTACTCTCTTTGTGTGATGCTCGAGCTTGACAGTACCACAACACTGTAAACACGAATACAAGCGAAACGATACAAGCGAGTTTAGCTCGCCGGTACTCACCTCACAAAGCTGCGACAATACAGGGTCCAAGTCGGTGCTTCCGATACGCTGGAGCCAGACTTCTTGCCGAGCGGCATTGTCTTTTCCTCGCGGAAGCGAAAATAGCTTCTTTCCTCTCCTGTACCTGCTTTTGCAACCGCTGGCACAGCAGGTCGGCATCCCGAAACGTGCAGGATTACCGTGCACACACTCACGCACGGTCGAACTCCGGCTACACAACAATACCAAGCGCGCACGCCTAGTCACAAACAAACACCGCTAAAGTGGACAAACAAAATGGCGTTTGCGATACCTTCACAAAGGCTAGTGCATCATGCTGCAGATTCTTAGCACCGCCGAGTTTATTACACGGACAGCAGTGGCGCTGCCATCGAGAGCGTCACCGCTGAGCGCGTCTGCATGCAAACGGTGGGCTATCGCGTTGAGTACTGCGTGCTTGCGGTGATGTCTTTTGCACTGCATGCCACTTGCTTATATATACGTCACATCGTCGTATTTAACGTTACTTTTTTATTTTTTCTTTCTCAATCACTCTTTCGGTGCATCGCCTAGAACCGCAGCGCCCAGATGCGCTTTAACGGAAACATGAGCACAAGCTCATCTTTGCGGCCAGGAGCCATACAGCCCCTCAACTAGCGTCGTTCACTATCTGCAATGCACGCGAGGGGAGAGGAGTCTGCACATTGACACGAATGGCGGTACTTTAGCTTATTTTTCAGGGACTTTAATCCTACGCCCCTTTGCGAAGCGAAACTGACGAAAAGCTTACCGTCAGGCGGCGTATTTATGAAAAGGGTCTATTATGTCGACCACGTAGACATCACCATGGGAGACGCAGACATCCCCAACATAGAATCAAATGGGCGCATTTCAGCGATCTTGAAATAATGATCTTGATCCGCAGAGGCCGCCAACACTGCCTACGTGACTCCGCCGTCAGTGGCAGTGGGCACTTTGTGACATGCGCGATTGTGTGCTCATGAAGAAATCATCGCCGCTCTTTATATGTCACCTAGCAGTGGCGCGCGTATGCATGTGTTCTCAGATGCACACTAGCCTTCCTCCCCCCACCACCGTTGGAAACACACCTGAGCTTATATCCAGCAAAGATAACTAACGATATACAATTTTTACTGCATAGTATCGCGTTACAATCGATACGTGCTTAGCTACATCGACACAAATATATTTTTACAGTAGTTGTGCATACAGAAATACTGATGATCAGAAATATTCCTGAGTCATTGTAAATTAATTGCTGCCCGTCTAGGGAAAAATGGCGCGAGCAACTCGCCCGCCAACTTGTTCGCGCTGTGGATTCTTCCGTAATTGTCACTGACCGGAAGAACTTTGAGTCCGTAGAAACTTTGCGACCGCAGGAACTTTGCGATGATGGGTGGTGTGGTGTGGAATGTTTCAATAAACAAGGATCAGACCAAATTACTGGTTAAAATGACGGTGCACAGAGGAAGAATACATTCTGCGCCATGAAATAACGGCTCACCCATCACGCTCACTACTCACAGAACTCTAACGTTTTTATTATGTTTATAGTTACAAAAAAAATTCGTAAACCAGTTTGTTTTTCATATTACTCACTTGCTATTGCTTCTTCAACCCGTAAGGACCGGGCTGCTAAACAGAACCCGGCTCCGACGCAATCCGGCCTTGACAAGTGACGTCAGAGAGATGCAGCGGTGAACTCTGTACACAACATGAATGCTGCAGACACGCAGTCGAAACAGGGGGTTGGGGTGCAATATAATGGTGCTCGTAGTGAACACGTAGGAAAAATATGAAGAAAAAGAAAACAAGTGAATATCACTGAAATTGGTGTAATATTTGGCAAAACTATATCAAAAAATATAATTATGAAGAGTATGATGTCGATATGTGGGGTTTAACGTCCCAAAACTACCATAGATTATGGTGTATGATTGATCGTATAATTTCAGTCAGTTATAATTCAATGAATGAAGAATTCTTGAACTGCGTTTGTTCTCGCGAAGCTGTTATGCTGCTCGTCTACGGTGACGTGCGGTTCTTCGTAACAGGGCTGATAGGTATAGAGATCAGCGTAGTCATGTTTTGTTCACAGAAAGTGGTTTAATAAATTTCGTTGTCTGTTTTTGTGTTGTTTTCTCGAGTGATTCATTATGGTTAGCTTTCTTAAGCGGTGTGGGTGAATCTCATGTTGAGAATCTAGCTGCATCTCGCTGCACACCATCTCGAGTTTATTATTAATGGTTTTAGTATGCAGATCCCGAACAATACATGCGTATTTCAGTATAGTTCTAATGTAGATGTTATATCATGACGATTTTACATAGGACGGGGCTTTTTAAAGTTTATACCTGAAGAGGTAAAACTTTATGAAAGCTGAGGCGTAAGTATTGCTTAAGTTGTCATCCATGTTAATCTTCTTGTTAAAGGTGTATTCTGGATACCTATATTGAACTACATCATTAAGAGGGAATGAACCTAAATTATACATGCGAAAAATGAGATAATTTCATATGCTTTGTTCGCAACAGTACGCTTTTTTCTTGTCTTTAGTGTCATCACTCTTCATATGCGCTTTGCAAGTATATTATTTATAGAGGCACCCAAAGTAATCTGATAATTGTCGGAAAGAAGTGCACATGTATACTCAAGGCCTCGTTTTTATTTGTAAACACAAAAATATTGAGATCTATTCGACATCCATGCCAAGGAAACTATAGGGCATGTTACATGAAGTATTGCTAATGTAAAAAGTTTGAAGAAAAAAAAGTGGTTGAGGAGATAACTTGCCTTGGGCACGGACCAAACCAGCGACCATCCAATAACTCGTCTGATGCCCTAACAGCTGAGTTACCACGGCATTTATCCTCTCCAAATTAGTGAGTGTATTTGTGAATTAATCTTTGGGGCGCCAGTGAGCACCGCCTGTCACATATGTTCAAATATGTGAATGGAAGACAGGCGGCGCGGTAGCTGAGTGGATAGAGCATCGGGCGCGTTGTTTGAAAATCGACGGTTCAGTCCTTGTCCACGGCAAACTATCTTATCATGTACTTTTATTTCTTCAAATTTACCTTAGAATTACCTCACATAACCTCTCTTACAATTTACTTGGCATGACTGTTGGTTGTATTTCAAATGTATTATTCTTGGAAGAATGATATCTTTAAAAAGCTCACAAACATCATTTCATCTTTGGATCCCAAGGACACAATAGCAAGCCTCCGACGCACCAGCGAACAGATGAGCCGTATGATACGGCAGGTATATACCAAGCGCGGCGGCCTTCATGGGACCAAGTCCATGCGGTTGGCTCATGCGTTCGTGGCCAGTCGCATCCAGTATGCCACACCTTACCTTTGCCTGCGTCGTCACCACAAGCACCAGCTGAATGACCTCCTTCGTTCAGTACACAAACGTACACTCGACCTTCTCATTGCCACCTCCAAAAGCCTATTCGCGGCACGGGGGGTACGTAACTCCTTTGCAGAGCTGCGGGAAGCTCATAGTGTTAGCCAAATTAATCGTCTGTCGCAGACGCCCTCATGGCAACGTCTACTACACAGGCTCGGTCTCAATGCTATCGCCGATCAAGACACTCCGACGCCCATACCAGAACTTTGGTGGCAAAAGCAATGGGTGGGACCACTACCCCGAACCCCGTGCTGCATACCGGCAGCAGACTACCACGTTCCGCAGCCCTTCAGGTGCGACACTCTGACCACCCTGGCGTTTTCTACGTAGACGTCTTGGGCCCCTTACCCTCAGGACACTTCACGGCCGCCGTAAATACAGAGGAAAAGCATGCTGACGGCTTCTTCTTTAGAGCCAACACTGTGACGCAAGCTGAAAAGGTTGCCATTGCTCTGGCCGTCTCGCATCTCACCTCACTCATCAGCCTGATAGACTCGCGCTCAGCCTGTTCCCAATAGCTTCAGGGTTTCATGTCCCCGCTGGCAGCTCAACTACTTCGAACAGCCTTTTGGCGCTTTAACTCTCGCCCCATTCGTATAGTATGGACCCCAGGTCATTCGGGCCTTTCCGGCAACGAGGCGGCGAACGCCGCTGCCCACGCTTCTCTTTTCCACACCGTTGTTCCTCCATGTCCCAAGTTGGAATCTGGCAATACAAATATGACGCACTTTCGCGAAATTCTTGCCTACTGCCGGGCCTCGCACCGCCTGTAACCGAACTCCACACTTGGTGTGGAGAAAGCGGACGAGCGAATACTACGCCGCCTCCATATGAACACCTATCTCAGTCCGGCGG